AATATGTTATTGTTAAATAATAAGGTCAATAAATACATTGTTTATTCATTCTAAATCATTCATAAATAATAAAGACAACTAAATATGTTGTTTATTTTGCTACATTGTTTATGCAGACATTATACTTCAACATGGAATATTTTACTCTACAAAATTTGATCATCAGCAACAAGAGAGTTCAAAGAGTAAATGTCCAATCCAGTCCATAAGTGAACATTATCAAGCTGTTGAATTACAATTCTCTTACTGACCAACTTTCCTTCTAGGCATAAGTTACTCACATCATGAGTTGACTTTATGATCATTTAAGTATTCTTAACTTGATAATTGATGTGATTGTCTTAATTTTGATAATGTTGAATAGCTCAAGTTGATCATTGGTTGCTGAGGCATTTGGTAAATAATAAACACCAGCTAAATACTTTCATGGAGATCATGGCAAGTAATGAAGGCCAGCTAAATTCTTCTTTGGAGGTCATGTTAAATAATGAAACTGCAGTGATATGTAAATTAGGTAATGTATAAAAGGCAGTATCACAATAACTATGGGAGAGTTATGTTCTCTTGACAAGACTACATGTGACAGAGAGAATACCTATCATAGTAATATGACTTCACTAATTGGTTACTTAACCATGATAGGGGATACTGAATATGTAGAAACCTGTTTCACAGTGTCAGCAAGGACACCAAAGATATTGGACAAAGAAATGAAGTTACTGATTTGTTTTTGGCCTCAGCAGTATTCTAGCTCAATGCTCAAACTTTCCTGGCAACTGACCAAGCAATATAATCTTTCCACTTTATATTAGTGGGAAATGCTAACCTGAAAATTGTAATGAGTTGCTCTTCTAGAGGTTCACATCAGAAATGCAAAAATGTTTCTCTAAGATAATTAACAGAGACCAGATTCAATTTTTGAAATGTTAAAATTAACAAGCCATTTCTTGCCTATTTAACAATAGATTGTAGGTTATTTTTTTATAACAGATGCCAATTTAACCATATCAAACTGATCAAGCATAATATTAAGACTTGTTTGAAACATTAACATTATTTTTTTTTTACCCCATGACCCATAGGATAGTAGGGGCAACATGTGTACTGCAGCCAGAGTAAAAATGGTGTTTCTTGAGCAAGATAGCCTAATGGAGACCAATCCTCTCCAGACCAGTTTTGAATTCAGAGTTTTTCTTTCTCCTAGATCAGTTCCAACCCAAGGTTATAGAACCCAGTCTGTCCTGCTATCTTCAAAGAAGATTCATACCTTTTCCAAAGGTATTAGTATGTAAGTGAATGTCATGGATCTAAATGGAATTTGAACTTGGCTCTCTGGTTCCTCATGCTGAGTCATCATCCATTACTCCACCATGCCTCCTTTTAAGGTTTTTACAAAGTATAAATAAGAAATTGACCATTAAATTAAAAGTGCTAATTAAAAGTAATTTTTTCAATTAATATTTCTTGGAAGAAATGTTAAATAATAAACCAACTGACTACCTGTGCGGAATCATGCTAAACTAGGAACACCTGCAGAATACCTACTTTGAAGTAATGTTAAATAAGGAATTTATGTAGAGGTCATGTTAAACTAGTTAATTACGTCACTGGAGTTTAGTCTAAAAAATGAACACCAGCAAAGTATGCCAGTGGAGGTCATGTTCAACAAAGAATACCATTGAAGAACATTCTTGGAGGTCATATTATACAATGAACACCATTACCAAATACCATTTTGAAACATTTGGGGAAAATTGCTAAGACAATACCAATTTTGAATGCATTTTCGTCAGGTGTCTCTTGTTATACTTGGAAACCTTCTTACAATTTTGAAGCAAATTCATTATTTTCTTTCAGATTATTTCATTCTCAGTTGATGTAAATCAGTCTTATTCACCTTTGTGTTACCTGTTGCTTTCTTCTACTAAACCAGAGTATATGCCTTTTCAGTATGGACACACCTAAGGATTGAAAACATAACTACCAGGGAACCAGATATATTTAAGTCAATGCTATTATCTACTAGGGCAGCATGTGTCATTTGGAGAATGTGCTAGTGTAATTTGCATGAACCTGATTGATTGATTTTATAAGAACTATATTTTTGTCTTTATTATTCTTATTCAATGTGTTTGCACCCCACTGATCATTTTTTCTTCAGGCTGATCAGGGATTTATACTTAGTGGAAAATCCCCCCACCATGGGGGGAGGAAATCTCAGACTTTCAGGTGGGAATTTTTCAAAATTGGTAGACTCAAAATGTTAACTTTTTTTCCAACCTGCAATGGGCATTGCAACTGAAAAAATGATTTTCTTTCTGTTAGCTCTTGTGTTTTTGCCACTACAAAAATAATGTCTGCTAATAGGAAAAGTCAATAATATATTATTTGAATGCACCTTTTGAGGCTGACAATCTTGGAAAGGGTCTGATATACAGATTGATTACTTTGATCAGAAAAAAAATGGTTAACAAGAAGTTTGGTGTTCAAAATAGCCATTTATTTTTTCCAACTTGATAGAAATGTCTAGCAATCTTTTTATCATGTCTTAGAACATATTTTTTCTGAAAAACAGAAGAAAATTGGTTAAAAGACTATCAGCAAAAGTTTTCACAGATGGAATTTTAAAATATCTGAAAACATGGAATGCACTTTAAGAAATTTCCAAATGGATTTAAAAAGGTGAGTTGAAACTGAGAAATAACTGAATTATTTGAATTTCTGGGATGAAAAATTATCATCATTTACATTATTTTCATGTGGACTATTATCCTCATTTACAGTTTTGTAAACATGTTTCGGTAGTTGTGATCACCAGCCTTCTTCAAGTGCTTATGGAGCTGGGTATCATTCAAGGAATTTTGAAATGAATCCTTCATTTAATCTACAAAAATATGTTGTTTCTATTGAGTCTCAATCCACAGATCATGTCTAGCGATAACCCATCTTGTTCTTATTTAGTACTGCTCAGTTATTGCTCTCCTTGTTTCCACTGAGTCTCATTCCAAAGGGCCATGTCTGAGGATAGGCCATCTTGTTCTTATTTAGTACTGCTCATTTGTTTATTGCCCCGTTTCTACTGAATCTAAGTACATATGTAGATGATTAAAGCTCTCTACAGCTTTCTATCCTTTGTAACACTTAGTAATGTCTGTCTTTTTATTATCTCTTCCAGTCCGTGTTCTATGTACATGCTCATGCTTTCATTATGTCCTGTGAGTGTCAGATTCTCCAAGCCCTCTATCCTCATCATGTGTCCATGAAATTTCAACTGCCTCTTACTGATTCTAAGTATAAACATCCTTTCTGTTTACATTTTCCTTGAAAGTTCTTCATTACCCACACATTCAGTCAATGATATTCTCAGAATCTTCCTGTAGAGCCATATTTCTGTTGTCTTATGTCTCCTGTTCATCTGAGGAAAATGTCCAATGTTCGGTGACATTGAGGAGAATTTCAGAACAGTTCAACACTCTTTTCTTTGCTTGTTACCAAATGTTCCTATTTCTTATTATTTACTTAGATTTTGGAAGGCATCTTTCACTATTCCAATGCCCCTTCAGATTTCGGTGTAGCATTTTCTGTAAAACTATGTTTGCATGATATGTAAACATACAATATAACGCTTGCCCAAGCTTTTCACCAATTACCATCAAATGATTACCCACTCATGTTGCATTCCGATTCTTGAAACCGTGAGTATACAGCAAAAAAGGGGAAGAGGATGCAATAGCTACCAGCTGCAGAATCAGGACTCAACTTATGTTGGTAGCTAAATCCAGCATGTAAACAAATAGTTGACCCAGCTAAGTTTAGGATAAGCAAAACAACTAGGTCAGAGAAATTTATATAAGTAACCTCCATCCAAGAGCAAGAACCTCTCACATCTTTGCGAAAAGACCCTCATCTTAGAAAAGTATGTCATTAAGTTAATTAATTAAGATAATTAATTCTAAGGTTAAGTTAACTAATCCTGTATATTAACTTAATTAATTCTGATGGTTAAGCTAATTAATTCTGTATATTAAGTTAATTAATTCTGAGGTTAAGTTAACTAATCTTGTACATTAATTTAAATCTGATTTTTAAGTTAATTAATTCTGTATATTAAGTTAGTTAAACCTTTACATTAAGTTAATTAATTCTGATGGTTAAGTTAATTAATACTGTATATTAATTTATTCTGAGGTTAAGTTAATTAATCCTGATGTTTAATTAATCCTGATAATTAAGGTAACTTTATTCTGATGGTTAACATAATTAATTCTTAATTCTTAATTGTATCAAATTTCACAAGAACTTTTCCCTTTATGCTAATTGAATTTCGTTCTCCTCCTCTTCAATTCCAGGTGCCATTTAACTTAAATTCAGAAGATCTTGAAAACTTGCTCTATTTTAGAAATGTATTTCCATTGGTACCTGACATTTCTGCACAATATTCTGAGAAGAAAAATGAAGAAGTCCAACTCCTTGTTCCAAAAGAAAATTTAAAAAAACTTGAGAATATGCTAACAGATGTAAAAAATAAAATTGTTTCTGAAAAATTAAAACTTAAGATAAAACTCGAGAAAAAACAAGTTGAAAAAGTGATACAAGAAATCCAAAATGAAAATCTGAAGGTGGAATGTCAGTTTTCTGATCATGGTGAAATTTTCATTTTCCATAGCTTTGATAGTGATTTGATTCAAGAAGCCAAAGATCAACTGATGTCTTTCCTTGATATCAATGATAAGATTTCTTTTACTAAAGATCAGTTCAGCAGAAAAGATCAAGATTCATCTTCATCTTACTTCAGAAAGGAGAACATGACTGCAGCTTCCTCTTTCATTAAACAAGAAAAATCTCCAAGTCCCAAAATGCTGGAAGATATTAAAAGTTTTTCGATGGGAGATGGAGATAAAATTTCTCATGAATATTCTCAGTTGCCTCCAGAAGGACATGCAAGAAATGAAGTTATCACCCAAAGCACCCAAAACATTCAAGATATTTGCTGCTTTCAAATGGGAGATAGTCTCCTTGTCAAAGTTTATCAGGCTGATATTCTGAATGTTGATGTGGATGGCATTGTTAATGCTGCTAACAAATGGCTTGCTCATGCTGGTGGAGTTGCTCGGGCAATTATTAATGCAGCTGGAGATGCTGTCAACATAGAAGGACAAAGAAAACGTAATGGTAGAGCATTGAATGATGGAGAAGTATTATCAACTTCTGCTGGTAACCTAACACAATATAGAAATATCATCCATGCTGTTGGACCAATAAATACCCCTTCAAGTAGAAATTGCGAAAAGAAACTTGAAGAGACTGTGTACAATTCACTGATAGAGGCAAATCAATTAGGTCTGTGTTCAGTGGCTTTACCAGCAATAAGCTCTGGTAAGTATATTTCATAGCATAACACTAATGTAATTACTTTACATTCATGTACTTGTAAAATCTATAGGCTTAGAGATGGATTATCCCCCTGAAAAAGATATTCAAACAATTCTATTCCTTTCAATGATAATCCATATCTTTTCCCTTAGATTTAAAGCAATAATTTCATAAGCTTATTTCATTTATTTTACATGATCTCTGTAATTCATCTACATTTGTTTAGCTTTAAAGTCTGTAGCTTGTAAGTTGTGTAATTATCTTTTTGGAAAATATATTGTATCAATTCTTGACTTATTAGTTACATTAGAAGCAATTATTTTGAAGATCCCTGGCTTTTATATGACTTCTTCACTATAATTCAACAACATTCAATTACTTCAATGAAGTTATTGATGTATTTTCTCGTTAACTGTTCATTATATTTTCATTAAAATATATATATATATATATATATATATATATATATACATATAACAGCACTATGGACACAAAGATCAACACCTAATAACAACAATCTGTTTCATACTTGAATACAATCTCTGGATGCCATATATATGTGCACACATTCAATATTAATACTTAGTGCTTTTAACTTATATAATGTTTGCATGTCTGTATGTGTATATATACCATATATTTCCACATATAAGATGACCTTTAAATCCCCAAGATTACTTGTGAAATTTGGGGTCATCTTATACTATTATTCTAAAAAGAAAATCTTAAACTCTGAGTGATGTTTGTCAGTAGGCTAACCTCGTCCTTAGTGTTATAACCAGTAACGTACATGAAAAGATTCACATTATCAAATAAACTGATAATAAATGTAATTAAACTATTTCTGCCTTATATATTACTGGCATAACTTCATAATAAATTGCCTATTCAAAGAATAATTCCATATAAATGAAATCAACTTGTATCCATGCAAACTCAGCTGAGAAAATGTAAACATCAAGTTATGATTGCATTCATAGAAACCTTTATCTTTTGCTAAACTTTCAATAATCATCATAATTATGGTGGTAATAACATTTAGGATAACATAATATTCATTTCTCATAAAAAATTCAGTATCATTTTTGTGTTAAATATGAAGTATAAGTAAAAGGCCATTAGCACCAGGTTGTTTGTAACTTTTTAGATAGAGGAAAAGAAGAGGAAGAAGAATCAGTATTGATCACATGGTGAAATATAAACAAAACAATGGTTTCATTTTTAGGGGACATATGTAGAAAAACATGATAAAATTGGTTTTGTTATTTTATAGTGACACTAAGAGCAGAAAAAGGAAGTTACATCTTTCATGGCTTAAAACATAATGACATATTTCATGTTTTGCACAATAGGTTCCATGTATTATGATAGTGTTAATTACAATTGCAATAACATTTAGGATAACATAATATTCATTTCCCATTGAAAATTCATTATCATTTTGGTGTTAAATAATAACACAATTTAGGATTACATACAACCTTTACTTTTCAAATAAAAATCCTTTTATGGTGATTGCATTTAAAAGTTTTAGAATATTATAAAACTATTTTCCATCAAGTTATCAATATTAATAAAACAACCCTGCAACATGTATACCTAAAACCCATGAAATTCCTCACAATCATCAATATCTGTTTGAAAAGGTTTCTTTAATACATCACAAGATTCATCATATATTTCATCATTGTAGAGATGCCAGTCCTCTTCTTATTGCTCATTTTTGTTTTTGCATTTTTCTTAAATTATCTTTATTCTTATCAGATTTTCTGTCATAATGAATGTTTTAGCAGCAACACAGTTGTTCAATTCCTTGGCTACTTCAATGACTTCCAATTTAAACCTCACTTCTTATTTTCTTCCTTTTGCTGATGGTTCCATGATTGATATTGGTATAAGTTAAGAAATTTCAATTGGCTTAGACAGAAGTTAGGAACAGTCTGAATAAAAAATCAGTACACCAGATTGTTTGTAATTGTTTGGATATATGGAAGGAAGAAAAGAAATCATGTAATCAAATGTAAACACTATATATATATATATATATATATATATATATATATATATATAATTAATGTATATTTTGGCAGCAACCTTTCTTTCAAAAATCTTTCATTAAGTATGACCAACAAGGAAGATTAAATTAATTTTTTATTAAATTTTTCCAGCATCCCCAAATTTATGGCTGGTTACTACGTGTTTCTGACTAGACCCATCTGCCACTTAGTGCAATTTATATTTATACAAAAATAATACAAAGCAAATAAAAAAAATAAAAGACAAAACTAGATAAAGCAACAGTAATAAGGCAAAGTAGGAATTGTGTAAACATGCAAAAGGGATACAGTCAAGTGATTGTAATATTCTGACTTCAAGACAATAAAAAAAGAGCAAAAATATGGTGGATGAGACCAAGAAATTGTTTCATTTTTATTACTTCCCAGGATGAATGATTATTTGGAGATGTTTTTAGTGATCATTTCCAGACAGTGGAAACTAGAATAGATATTGAGATAGGGTAATTAGGAGATTGAACTGCTTGCATCAGAAAAGGATTTGTACTGCTTGTGTTCAGTTTTTAACACTAGAAATTTCTACAACAGAAGCAAATTAATTTCTGCAGTAAACAAATTTCTACAATAAAAGCAAACCAGTTTCTACAATAAAAGTAAACAAATTCCTAAAATAAAAGCAAAAACATTTCTACAATAAAAGCAAACCAATTTTTACAGTAAACAAACATCTACAATAAAAACAAATTTCTACAATAAACAAATTCTAAGAATAAAAGTAAAAAAATTCTACAATAAAATCAAACAAATATCTACTATAAAAGAAAGCAAATTCCTACAATAAAATTAAAATAATTTCTACAATAAAAGTAAATAAATTTCTAAAATATAAGTAATTTCTACAATAAAAGCAAACTAAATCTACAATAAAAGTAAACTAATTACTACAGTAAAAGCAAAGTATTTTTCTACAATAAAAGCAAACTAATTACTACATTAAAAGTAAACTAATTTCTACAATAATATAACGTTGTGGGACATTCTGGTCCCTGCACTAATGACAATGCCATCCAATCCTCAGACACTAAGTCTGTCCGTGATAGAATCCTGCAGCTAACTGTGGAGTTGGTCACTTTGATCCAAACTTCACCCTGTTCCACATTGTGTTTATTTTGATCACAAGGCAGGCAAGGATTGAATTATTGCCAGATATTGCTGGATCAGTGTCATTCAAGTGGGAAGATGTTATAAGACAAAAAGAAGGTTGTGTAGATGAAGAAGGTTTATATAACTGAGGTTTATACATGAACACTTTTTTCCTATAAGAATCTACAAGCATGCAGGCTAACGACCATTCCCTTGTAGTCTAATTTCATGACACTTTGTTTACAAGTCAGAGTCAAGCTTTCAAACTTCAAGTCAGAGATTTCTTTGGGCAGCAAATTATGGAATGCTGACAGAGTACTTGTCTCCCTCTTTCTCTCTCTCTCTCTTTCTCTCTCTCTCTCTCTCTTTCTCTCTGTCATTATATAGAGACTTTAAATTCTTTCACTTTGCAATTTCACCAGGGCACTCTACTCAATTTGTCTAATAGTCTGGAACAAAGTATAAGCCATGAGTTCTCCATGGCAACAAATCACATGGGGATCATCAAAACAATCATCTCTTAGCATAATGAAAGTGTGCCTCTGCCTCAATTGCTACTCTCCCTGTCTGTAATTCCCCTCTGATCTAACGCTTTTATGGATCCTTGCCCAACATCGGTATGGGGTTTGATGCAGTCTGGGGTTCCAGGATTTTCCAAATATCCAATCAAAACTCTGCTGATAGAGTCCTGGGAAGTGATTTGCATTTCCAAGTTTGGGGAATCCTTCCTCCAGAGAGTAGAAGTGTTGTATAGCCCCCTGATTTTTGGGGTGGGAGTGGGGGTGGTGGTGTCTCATGGTCACTGTGCCAATTAATACAATGTTGTATAGCCCTTTCTTCTGTGGTTGGTCTTGTGGCAATGGTCTTGATTCACTCATAATGTTACCTTCTTTTTCTCGGCCATCAATCTCCAGTTGTTTTGTTCAGAGATAAAAGAAAACGTAAACAAAAGGGATTTTAAAACTTTCTAGTTTATTAACCGCATTGATGGGTACATCTTATCAAGTGGGGGTTACTACACCCCCTATTGGAAGCCACTTCCAAACATGAAAATCTCATATGTCCATTTCCTTTGACATGTAACAACCAACTCTCAAAAGATCCTTCGCCACTGAAGGCTTTTCACAAATGCGATCTAACACATCTAGTTAGCTTTACGTACAAATAGAAACTCCCTAAAAACCTTAATCAATAACTCATTTCTACGTTTGGCTCACCCAATCAAAATCGACATCTCTATTTCATCTATCATCTAAAGGTCAGCCTCAGAAGGACTGAGCCAACATACACTTCCACTAAAAAATAATAGTCTGGATCTATTACTTAACTGAGGTAGCAGGGTGTCAACCTACCCTACTTCCACCTTCTCTTATATGTACCTTATACCAACACCCCTCAATGGGTGTAGTCTGTTTTCTCTCACTCTCTCGTTCACCAATCTACTGGGTTAGCATGCATTCATCAATTAAATTATATCATCTCAACCTCACATTATCAGAAATGTCCTTTGTCAAAAAAAGTTTTTTTATATCTTCCAAAGTTCTCATCTTGGATAATTATAATTTCTTTCATTGTCTTCGGAGAAGGCTTTGACCAAACTCTTACCAATTGGCCGAATTCTTTGTCATTCAAATTCTGTAATGTATTTAAAGAAATCTTATTCCTTTAGCAACATGTGCATCTTCCTCCCCTATCAACAAGTGACATAGAATCATTTCTTTACTCTCTTCTTCACTTGTAGCCATAAAATTACGGTAGAATCCCTCATATCCAGACTGCTTCATATCCGGAATCCCACATATCTGGACATGATTTTGATGTGTATATCTTTGAACTTTTTGGGAAATATGTAATTGATTTGAATTTTCTAATTTTTAGGAAATTTACTTTGGATAATTGCTTATGCTTATTTTACCCTAATGGCTTGTATTGGTGCATAAGATGATGGGAATAAGAGGAAAAGAACAATTTTGGAGTTATCGCAAAAAGTGGAAATTTTAAGCAGACTAGATGCTGGTGAAAGTTCATTGAAACTAATGTCTGAGTTCAACATAGGAAAGTCAATATTGTATGATATAAAATCTTCCGAAGAAATTATTCTCCAGAGTTCAACACTGTCACAATGAACAAAGAAATAAAACAATCTTTTCATCAACCTAAATCTCTTACTCTAGATGCAAAACTGTATGATTGGTTTTCTGAGAAGCATTCGGAAGAGATATTGATTTCACAACTGATGCTCATAGCAAAGGCCAAATTGTTAAATGATGAACTGAATCTAAATTTAGCCTGCAAATTTAGCTGCAGCTGGCTAAATTGTTTTAAAGATCGTCATGACATATTAGGCAATTATCTATATCTGGAGAAATCAAATTTGCAGATTGTAATGCAGCTACAACATTTTCTGCCTCTTTCACATCATTATTGAAGGCAGGATTTACTTATGATTAAATCAACAATTGTGATGAGACTGGGTTGAACTGGAAGTGTCTACCAAAAAAGCCTTTAGCAGGAAATGAAGAAAAAAGTGCTTTTGGATTCAAACAAAACAAGGAAAGACTGACTGTTCTTTTATGTGCTTCTGGTACACACAAAATCAATTCCTTGGCAATTGGAAAGTCTGCATTCCCTCAGACTTTCAAAGGATTGGTATACCTACCAGTAAAATATGAATCCCAAAAAAGTGCTTGGATCACTAAACCTATCTTTAAGGAGTGATTTTTCAACAATTTATTCCTGAAGTTCATTCACATTTTAAAACATAAAGTAAACCAGATGATACAAAATGTTTGCCTGTCCTTTACAACTGTAAGGTTCACTTACACAAATCTCAACTCATATCAGACTGCGGAAATATTTATGCTGTTTATTTTCCACCAAATGTCACACCACTTATTCAACCAATGGACCAGGCAGTAATAGTAAATGTGAAGCATTATTACAAGAGTTGTTTCATGATGCAAAAAGGTAGCAAACCATTAGAATTTCAAAAGAGTTTTAACATTAAAGATGCTCTTTTTTCTTTTGCCACATGATGCATGTGAATCTGGGAAATCAGAAACACTTGTAAGCACATGGAAAAAATTCTTCCAGAAGAACAAAATGAAATTGATGGAGATTCATCAACAGAAAAGAATGAGATTGTAAGTGTAGATTTATGTAACAAAAATGAAGAGGTACATGTTCTGAAGGAAATTTTTAAAAAAATGATGTAGAATGTGTTAATACAGGTAACAATGGTGAGTTAAATAATGAATCCTCTCTAGAATCCAAAAATGACAATGAAACACATCTGCAACAAGATAGCGATGAGATGTATGATTGTGATGAACCTAGACTGAAGCTATTGAAAAGGTTGTCAGTTTTATGGAAAGAAAGCCAACATTCAGCTATGACAATTGCAGAGTTAAAAAGTGTCTTTCGTTTTAAAAAATTTCAAGAACAAAAGCAAAATGAAATGTGGAAAAAGTTGAGAATAACATTAGAAGAGAAAGAATTTTTTAATCTAAATATAACCCCTCTTATCCTGACTTTGTAACCAACTCCTCATATCCAGAAAGCCTCCTTAGTGTGGTTGTGAGGGATTCTACTGTATTATCTGTGACTAGCTTGGTGGTCTCTGTCCAAAACATGCCAGCCCTGGTTGCTTCCTAGATGTTATCACACTCCCCTTACATCATCCCTTGGGCTTCACTTTAACCAGATGCTTAAGTGGTTTTCAACTTAAGATGAAAAGAGAAAACAAGATAAAAGTAAAATCTTCACTTGTTATTGGTATGTCCTTCAATCTATTTACTACCTTCTTTGTCTTTGTGTTCACTTTCAATTTAATTTAAGCCTTTTTTTTCTTTTTTCAAATTATTAGCATTCTTACAGTATTACAATAAAAGCAAACTAATTTTCACAATAAAAGCAAATTAATTTCAAACCCTTCAAATGACATCTGATTTTTAGATTTGGAAAACAATTTTGTCTCATGAGATATGATAAAAAATTAGATCTAACTACTTTGATATTTTATTCCTTTGGTTCTTGTACGTGCCAAATTCTTTTATGACTTAGACAATTATGGTTCTCCACAACATCTTCTCTTTTTGAACTTTTACCATCCATTTCGCCTATATTCTGACAAAAACTCATCCATTCACACAAACTCATCAGGCAGGTTACATGTCATTTTCTCTACTTTCTTTGCCTTCAGTTTATCCTGTGAGTATTAAATTTTCTGGACCTTCTTTCCTCATTATATCACCAGAGATTTTATAATCTCTTTCTGATTTGAGTATGTTTCCTTTTTTCCTTATTTTCTTTAAGACTTCCTTGTTCCTCACATAACCTGTGCAATTTTTAAACTAATTTTAAAATGACAATTCTTTTTTGAGATATCAATTTCTCATCAGCCAGAGAAATTTTTTATTCTTTAAAAAAAAGAAAGAAAAAAAAGCAGTTTATTTTTCTTTGTAATTTTGGTCAACTGACATTCTAAGAATCTTGACTGACTTCACCATTTTCCATCCTTAGGCATATTTGGAGTTCCTCTTGATATTTGCACAAATGCTTATGTTATGGGTGTTAAAGAATTCTACAAAACAAAGCCATCAGACTGTCAACTTAAAGAAATACATTTTGTTGACATGAATCCTGTTACATGCAAGGCCATCAAAGATGATTTTGCAAAACAATTAAGTGAAGTCCCTGCAGTCACTGGCAACAATATTCATCAATCAAAATACAATTCTGCAAATATTTCCAGTTATGAAGACATGTAAGTAGAATTTTTCATATTGCTAAAGATATATAATATGATATTTCTATAGAATTATAGAATGATAAGTAAATTCTCTTAATTTTCTATATTGCTGAAGATATATAATGTGATATTTCTATAGAATTGTGGGATAATAAGTAAATACTCTTAATTTTCCATATTCCTTAGGATATACAAGGTGATATTGCTATAGAATTCTTCAATAATAAATAAATTCTTTTTAATTTTCCATATTACTGAAGACTTGTAAACATCTAATTATTTAATTTGATCTTTTCAGTATATTAAGTAAATTCTTAATTTTCAAACCTGATGATGAAATTATATGCATATGTCATTCCACCTTAAACAATGAAGTATAAGTATTGAAAGATCATTTTAATGTTTGAGGATGAGAGATTTCTACTTGCTTTAAATAAAAGAATTTCTCATCTTTGCTTTCACCATTTTATATGCTGGCAAAACACAAAAAAGTTCTAAGCAAACATTCATTAAATAAAATAAAAACATATTATCAGTTGTAGTATTAATTGTAATAATGGATGAGATGTGGAAGATAGCTTTATTCTCCCAGTTTGCATTTCCCCCATTATTAGCATTATTATATCCATGACATAATAATATCTTACTTAAAGTATGGAATGGAATGGTTGAAAGGGAAGTAATGATAAACATGCTTTGTTTTCAGAGAGTTTTATGCTGCTAAGTCATACACAAAATCATATAAACATAGTTACATGTGTCCCACAGAGAGAAACTATAACACATATCTGGACAATCTTTGATATTTTTTTGTTTTTTTTGCTTTATGTCATATCAACTTCAATGGGTTATTTAATGCCAACAAGATTTTTATTGCTGGTAATATTTTTTCCAAAAATGTATTGCTAGTAATAATTTTTTCCACCAAAAATTACTGGTAATAATTTTTTTACAAAATTGCTGGTACTAAAACCTATTTTTACACTTTCATAGTGTTTTGACCCCAGCTTAGCGGTTAACTGGGGCCCTAACAGATGCTACTACCCCAGGTCAGGTTGGACCTGGGAAAACCAGCAGTTAAGAGGTGGTTCCACACTTCTCAAAACCACCTGATCAGAGGTCTTGCTGTTCAATATATTTTATCGTCTTACCCAAGACAAACAATCTTTGACTTCATGAAAGACTCAGTGGGGAGACTCATTTAGTGGTAGCTAATGAAAATAACCCAGAAACAAAATTTCAAATGTAAACTTTTTTCATATTTCTTGTGCATTTGATATCATTATTTAGAAAAACTAGTTCTGGGAATTAATTGATGCCACTGCATTACAGCTATTTCTGTAGAAAGAAATTTTGGCAATGTTTAACAAGCATTCTTGCAAAAAAACAGTATGTCAAAATGTCAAAAGGATAGTTTTTCTTTTGACCAAGCCATATTTCCTAGTAGCTGTAATAGGCAAAATGTGGTAGTAATTTTATATATATATATATATATATATATATATATATATATATATCTTGTCAGTTTTGCAAATTTGTAAAAGTATTTCTGATGCACTATGTGTGTGTGTGTGTATATACATATATATATATATATATATATATATATATATAATATATAGAGAGAGAGAGATGACAGAGAAAATACAGAGAGAGATGAGAGAGAGAGAGAGAGAGAGAGATATCCATGTTCTCTAAATGCATGTATATATTATAAATATAGATATCCTATCTATCTATTTATCTTTCTATTTATTTTTCTCTTTCCTCTCTCTCTCTCTCTCTCTCTATATATATATATATATATATATATATATATATATATATATATATTTTCATTAAGGCATGTCTCATGAAATAATTTAAACAAGTTTTGTCTACTTATTTTTAATAGAATCCTCTCGTACTTGCAGACAAGTTTCTTAGTATCCTTATTAAATGAAGAAAGAAAATTACTATGTTAATACATATTCATTTATTCCGAGTACTTTTGACATTAGCACAATGTCATCATCAGGGTCTTGTTTTTTCTAAGACAAAAATTTGTTGTGTTCATCATTTTCCTTGTTCATCAGAAAATTAAATTTTTACATGTGAAGTGAAAAACACTAAGGTTATGTACTATACAAGTTGTTGATGATTGTGATAGCACAAACTCACAAGTCATTGTGACTGAGGGCTTGAGCATACAAGCCTTGTTCAACTATGGATCATGCCAGATTATGCACTGCTCCTCTTATAAACTGTGACTAAGATCTGCTCAGTTTATTTTCAATATAAACTGCAGCTGAAGTTGAAGAAACAGAAATATGCCTGAGGAAGCATCTGCAGCAGGGATTAGCTAACTAACCTAGTAGAGAACATAGTCTCCCAAGGCTGACAGATGATTTCTCTGTGATTGGTGTAAATGACTAATAGTATGTTTTATTTTTGTCTTCCAGGGAGGTGAAAGCTATTGATGAAAAAAGTTTAAGATGTGTTGCTTGCAAGAAACCCCTCACTGGGGTGAAGTACGAAAAATATTGCAAGCACATTTTTTGCTCTAATTGCATTGCAAAACCATGCACCATTTGCAATAATTAATCTCAGATTATTCAGGGAAACCACTCACCTGGAACCATGTCTGTGAAGTAAGTTCTTTGTCCCTTTTGGAAAAAAATACACATTTAAAAACTTTTATGAAATAGAATACAATATATCCACTTCTTACCAAAAAGTAAGACTAATTAATTCTGATTCATTTACCTCTCCTGAAAAAATGTTTAAATACCTTCCTACTATATAAAAAAGAATGTGCGTATGAATTGATATTTTATGCTTTCTTGGGCTCAGGGTTCTTGCAATTGATATTTAGTCTTTTCTTCTTGCTTTCCTACACTACCTTTTATAGGAGTTTCCTTTCTGTGTCTACTATTAACTGTATTAATGCAGAGTGTGGCTTACCTAGTATGAAGCATGTTCGAGTTGCTGCAGCTGTAACAGGAAATCCAGTTCGAGACCTACATGCGCGCATGCACATCAAACATGATTTGATGAAATGGACATCACACCTATGCAAATGTACCATACCTGCTGCTTACTATATAAGCGGCTACATTACTTGCTAAGGGTGAGTAGTAAATCTGTAGACAATGCTTGTGGTGTCTAGATGAAAATAAGTGGTACAGGCAGCATAAGCAGAATACTTCACACATCAACACAGTATCGTCTGCATATCTTATGTTGTTGGGATTGTGGTACCCAAGAAAAGGAACGACGGAACATCCAAATTACAAATTAAGGATACCAAAATCAAACAAGTACAGCAATTTAAATATCTGGGAAGTGTTTTAACTGAGGATGGGAAGTGCAACACTGAAAACCAAAGAGGTACTGGGATAGCGAAAGATGACTTCCAAAAGCTAAGCAATTTATTAAGAAATGGAAAAATTTTGTTAGAAACAAAGAAAAAAGCTGTTAGGTCATATTAGTCCTTCCAGTGGCAGACCAAGGAAGGTGCCCAAGGGGCCCCAGGTTGCATTTTATGCGGGTGTCATTTTGCGGGTGAAAAAAAATTGAAGACACGAACATTCATTTTTATGTTATGGCGTTTCCATAAAGGAATCTAATATTTTGTTTTTTTTTTAATTCAAAATTTTTTCTTTTACATCCATTCCTTTTTGTTTGGAAGATCACAAACACATGACATCCTGGAAGGTACTGAAGGTGAGTTAGAGCAAGAATTTAAAATTCTCGGTAGCGAATATGGTGCTGACTTAAATGTATCTAGGCTACCTTTGGAAATTCTCTGATTTCGGGATTTTTTAGCAGCACCTTCCAAAATGGATCATGACATGACCATGACGACCAAATTATCAGCTATCAAATGACTGAAATGGATTTATCGATGACAAGTTCAAGAAACAGCCCCAAATATTGTGATTGCTCTACAGCTGGATTTGACACTCAAAGTTTCTGTTGCTATTGCAGAGAGCAGCTTCTCAAAACTGAAGCTCTTTAAAAGTCACTTGAGATCGAGTATGTCGGAAGATGACTTATCTAATTTCTCCCCCATTTCAATTGAACATGAAACTGTGAAGAAGATAGACTTTGACCAAGTTAGCAGTAACTTTGCTTCTTCAAAAGCTTGAAAGGTTAAAATATGATAACATTAGTTCAGCTAATTTTTGAATTTGTTGTTTTTCAAGTACTAATCAATGCCATGAAGAGTATTTCATTTATATTTTTCCTCCAAAATAAGTGGGGTGTCATTATGAATATGGGCCCTGGGCAGCACTTTGCCTCAGTAGGCCCCTGAGTCCTCCTACATGGTAGTGAATGCTAGACAATCTCACAGATGAAGAAAAGACTTGAAGCAACTGAAATGTTGTTCTTCAGAATGACTCTGAGAATACCATGGACTGAACATGTGAGCAACAACAAAGTTTAAGAGAATATGGAAAGAAAAAGGAAACTTATACTTAGCATCAGAAAGAGATAGTTGAAATTTCTCGCGTACATAATGAGGAAAGAAGAATTGGAAAATATGACACTCACAGGACTGATTGAAGGCAAGAGAGACAGAGGAAAATATTACATAACCTACCTAGTGAGCTTGAGTAAATGGATGGCAGAACAAGTTTTAAGAAAGATAACAAAAAAGCAGAATTTATTAAGAGCTACAAAAGACAGAAAAATGTGGAGAGCCATGCTCACCAACATTCTGAAGTGTCATGGCACCTAGAAGATCTTGAGTCCTAGATATCAAGTTGAAACTTGATATTCTAGTATTTATATGTATATATTTATGCTTGGGGCAAAGTATATAAGTTTATAGTAGCTGTAAATCGCATGATTATACATATATGTGTTTATATATGGATATGTGTGGTAGCATTAATTAGAAGAAAATTTTTAGTATACACACACAAACCTTTTCCCATCAAGCAAATGTAAATGAAAGCAGACAGGATTCAATTGAGCTGAAAATCAATCTTCTGATAAAGGAATTGGCTTACTGTATTTCACCAACTATCATTGGAGTAAGATGTAAACACTTGTATCTCTCTGAAACCAAGAATGCAGAGATGCACCCATATACACCACATAAACAATACCCAATTAAATGCATGGAGAAGACATCCTGAGATTATAAAAGAATTAAAGAATATAAAAGTTTGAAACATTTATTTATCATCACAATTACTTAAATTTCTGTTCTTCCAAAATTCAACACATTTACGTTAATTATGTCAAGATTAATGTCATCCTTGAGTTTTGGTATTCCCACAACATTTCAAATGTTTTGTCCACAAACCTTCATTATTTATTTCTTTTCATCTTTTTTGTTATTATCACTTAATATTTTGTTCTCTCAAACTTCATTATTTATTTATTTGAATTTCCAAATTACAATTTTCATTATTTACGTTAATTATGTCAATACAACCTTTCATTATTTATTTATTCTCATCATTATTGTTATTATCACAACGTCCCCACAACTTCATTTCAAATTTATTCTCATCATTATTGTTATTATCACAAATTTTACAACCTTCATTATTTATTTATTTCATCATTATTGTTTTATCTTATTTATTTATTTCATTTCCCCTTACAACCTTCAATTATTTATTTATTCTCATCATGTTTTTATTTATTTATCATTATTTATTTATTCTCATCATTATTGTTATTATCACAACCCCCTTACAACCTTCATTATTTATTTATTCTCATCATTATTGTTATTTATCACCTTCAACGTCTCCCTCAGTTCATTATTTCATTTATTTATCATTCATATTGTTATTACAACGTCCCCCTTACAACCTTCATTATTTATTTATTCTCATCATTATTGTTATTATCACAACGTCCCCTTTACAACCTTCATTATTTATTTATTCTCATCATTATTGTTATTATCACAACGTCCCCCCTTACAACCTTCATTATTTATTTATTCTCATCATTATTGTTATTATCACAACGTCCCACAACCCCTGTTTTATTGTTATTATACAACGTCCCCCCCTTACAACCTTCATTATTTATTTATTCTCATCATTATTGTTATTATCAACGTCCCCCTTACATTTTTTTCATTTATTTATTTATTCTCATCATTATTGTTATTATCCAACGTCCCCCCTTACAATTTTCATTATTTATTTATTCTCATCATTATTGTTATTATCACAACGTCCCCCCCTTACAACTCTTTCATTATTTATTTATTCTCATCATTATTGTTATTACAACAAAATTCATTGTTATTTATTTTCATTATTTATTTATTCTCGTCCCCAATTTTATTAACCTTACAACCTTCATTATTTATTTATTCTCATCATTATTGTTATTATCACAACGTCCCCCTTACAACCTTCATTATTTATTTATTCTCATCATTATTGTTATTATCACAACGTCGTTTTTACAACCTTTCATTATTTATTTATTCTCATCATTATTTTATTTATTCTTCATCATTTATTATTCTTCATTATTATTATCACAACGTCCCCCCCTTTACAACCTTCAACCTTTATTTATTTCACAAATTTATTATTTCATTATTATTGTTATTGTTATTATCACAACGTCCCCTGATTTACTTTTCACATTTATTTATTTCATTATTTATTTATTCATTATTTATTCATCATTATTGTTATTATCAACAACGTCATTTTTTATTTATTCTCATCAACATTGTTATTATCCTACCCATTAAAACCTTTTATTTATTTATTCTCATCATTATTCAACATATCGCGACAACGTTATTTTATTTATTCTCACATTTTATATTATTCATTACAATTTATTATTTATTTATTCTCATCATTATTGTTATTATCACAACGTCCCCCCTTACAACCTTCATTATTTATTTATTCTCATCATTATTGTTATTATCAACTCACCTTCATTATTTACAACCTTCATTATTTATAAATTCTCATATTTATTTATTCTCATCATTATTTATCACAACGTCCCCCCCCTTACAACCTTCATTATTTATTTATTCTCCATTATTGTTATTATCACAACGTCCCCCCCTTACAACCTTCATTATTTATTTATTCTCATCATTATTGTTATTATCACAACGTCCCCCCACAACGTTTCATTATTTATTTATTCTCATCTAAATTATCACAACGTCCCCCTTCATTCCTTTTTATTTATTTATTCTCATCATTATTGTTATTATCACAACGTCCCCCTTACAACCTTCATTATTTATTTATTCTCATCATTATTGTTATTATCACAACGTCCCCCTTACAACCTTCATTATTTATTTATTCTCATTATTAAATTATTATCATTCTCATTTTGTTGTTATTATCCAATAAAAACCTTCATTATTTAATTATTGTTATTATTACAACCTTTATTATTTTTATTTATCCCCCTAATTAAACATTCATTATTTATTTATTGTTATTTTATAAACGTCCCCAAAGAACATCATTATTTATAAAATAAATTGTTATTAATTAACGTATTACATATTTCATTATTTATTTCATTATTTATTTATGATTTAGCAGTTTTCATTATTTATTTATATTTAAATTATTAAACAACGTCCCCCTATACAACCTTTTATTTATTTAAAACTATTATTATT